GTGTCCTCCAGGTGTCGTCCCCACGACACTTTGCCCTTGAAGTTTTAGGCTCGAGCCATTGGAAGACACTTGGAGGGTTTAAGTGCAGCCCATGCCCTGCGTGTCTGAGCCCACGACTCCTGCCAGGTTGGGATCCTCGGGTCAGGATCAGACGCTGGGTCAGCTTTTCTTGGGGCTCCTCCCACTGTGAGGGTTAGATTGGCCTGTTGCATGGAGAACAGAGATCTGCCCCAGGGGCACTTTGAGGGCGACTGGAGAACGCGTCCCCTGTGATGGCAATGTGGCACGTGCACCTCAGGAGGACGTGGGTGGCCTGGACAGTGTGAATGAGCCACAGAGGCCACGCCCCGTGGTGTGACCTCGGGGACCAGCCCCACGAGCTGTGTGGTGTCTGCCCTGAATAGCCAGCAAATAGCGTTTGGTGTGAGTACTTTGGTTTCATGTGTCTTAATCTAATTGTTTTATTTCATTATATACCAAAGGAATTCATTGTTACATTAAAGGAATTCATTGTCATATTAAAGGAATCGGTTGTACGTGGCGTCCAGGGAAGGCGGTGCCTCCGTGGGGCCCTGTGGTCAGGGCGCAGGAGAGAGCCCCTGGCCACGGCCCTCCGCCGCCTCTCACACTGTCCCGGGTTCTCTCTGCAGACGTGGCCTTCATCACAACCGTGACCTTCGTGTGGAAAGTGTCGGCGATCACGGTCGTCAGCTGTCTTCCGCTCTACACCCTCAAGTTCCTGCGGCGGAAGCTGTCCCCTCCCAGCTACTCCAAGCTCACCTCCTAGGGCCGCGCTGCCCGCCCGGCTCAGTGGACGCTCGGGGTGCAGGGCCACTGAGTGGGTCGGGAGGGCGGCCTGGAGGAGCGGGCACCTGGACGACATGCCTTATCTGCTGGGCGCAGGTTTCCCTTCCTTCCTTCCTTCTTGTTTTCCAGAATTTAATTTCCAAATCGAAAATGAGCCCTCATTATTTCACCTTTACTGTAAAGCACTGATCTGACTCTGGTGTCCGGAGGAGTGAATTAAAGTTTGCTTAACACTCCGCAGTTCCCCGGGGTTCACGTTCTTTCTTTGATGTCATAACAGGGGAAGCCGTCCTGCGCAACTGGCATGAAACCTCGAGGCTGTGAAGGCGGGTGTGCTGCTCCCGATGGGCGCTCTGCGCGCACAGGGCCTCGGGCGGAGCCCAACACCTGTCCCCTTGGTGTT